ATAGAAGTTGGCCTGTTTGGAGTGGGAGATGAAATTGGGGATGTAAAATTGTTTCTTAAATAATATCAAACCGTTCTTATTTTATTTATTATTATTTTTAATACCTTTTTTTTAATCGATTTCAGAGGAAGGGAGAGCGGGAGAGAGGGATAGAAACATCAATGATGAGAATCATTGACTGGCTGCCTCCTGCATGTCCCCTACCCGGGCATGTGTCCTAAATGGGAATCCAGACCTGATCTCCTGGTTCATGGGTCAACACTCAACCACTGAGCCACACCAGCTGGGTGTAAACAATTCTTATTTTAGATCTTCTCCACTCTACTTTTAGAAGTACCTCATTTCACCAGTTCATGAAACTTGGGCATACTGCAGTGTAAATTGGCTTGATTCTCATCTGGTAGACTTAGCTTCTCCATGCTTTGTAAAATTTACATACTATATTCTCTCCTCTTTAGATCATGGAGGGTAAAATGAAGGCCCACTTTATTATGAATGATCCAGCAGGAAACAGCTACTTGCAGGTACAGTAGACCTTTCCTTATATTTCATGGAGATATGTTTTCTGACTTTTCTTGAACATGTATCATTTCTCCAGAAACTGAGACTTGGTTCTAAATGAACTGCTCTTTATCAAGGAACCTCTTAGCAGAACTTAGAACTTAAGGGAGAAAGGGGGGAACGTAGGAGGGGTTGTAAGTGTGTCGAGAGGGAAAAAAGGATACCTCTAGGCTCCTTCCTCCTATAGTCTAGTTCTCCCCAGCTCTAAGTCCAGTGATGATGCTTTCATTCTGCAAGTCTGATTGTGGAGTGAGGAGAAATGGTCCCTTGTCCAATATAGGAAAACTGAAAGGCATTAAACTGACTGGGCAGATATTCTGGTGATTGACAATAACATTAATATTTAATGAACAGTTACTATGGGTCAGGCAAAACTGTTCTAAGGTCCTTCCATGATTAAGACTATTATTACACTCTTCATAAGAAGGTGCAGGTAGGAAGTATTTTAGGTGGACTGTTCCCTAATTCTACTCCTGGCCCACGTGGCCTCTGTTGCTTCCCACTAGTTGAGCCTAGTCATGGGGAATTGGTGATGCTTAGAGTAAAAAACTCAAGAGTTCTGGAGAAAGTGGGCATTGGAAGCAGCCTGAGGAGGGAGGATAGCAGGATGGTATGGGCACTGATGATCTGTCCTTGGCCTTCCAGAATGTGTATGCACCTGAAGACGATCCGGAGATGAAGGTGGAACGTTATAAGCGCACATTTGACCAAAATGAGGAGCTAGGGCTCAATGACATGAAGACGGAGGGCTATGAGACAGGCCTGGCCCCACGGTAGCAGTGGACCGTTTCCCAGCCAACCTCCTGTACTGCTCAGACCACAGGCTTACTTATTACTATTGGAAAAGCGGGGAGTGGCCTCACCTGCTCCTGTGGGGAGGGCATCTGGTCTGAATCAAAGATCCTGGCACACTTTGTAAAGTGTGTGGTGCAGGTGCACCCCTGTTGGGTATTTGACCTTATTTCGGAGGTTGTGAGTCAGCTTGGGAAGAGACCTGGAAGCGCACTATGAGGAATGTCACTATCACTTTTTCCCACAAGTCTTCGCCCTCTGTCCACACCGTGCTGCCCTCTAGAGCTGGAACTCTGAAGCTGAGGAAGGTGGAAGACAGCTGCAGCTGGAGTTTAGGTGTTGGTTTTGGGTGTACAAAATACTGACTCTCCACACGGAGGGAATCTTCCGAGGGAGGGAGTCCAGCACAGGTGAAGAAGTTCTCATTAAAACGATGGCTGTCAAACTGCACTGGCCCGGAATTCACTGTCCTTAATTGATATGCTGGTAGACTCCACCTCCTGAAGAAAATTTTCTCCAGTGCGGCCACTGTGATTTGGAGATTGGAGCTGGCATTTCATTCTTCCTTCACAGATGTGTGAGTTGTGAGTGTTCACTTTGTGCCAGGCACACACTGAACAGTGAACAAAACAAAGTGCTGCTTTCATGAAGCTTGAAGTCTAGTGGGGAAAATTGACATTGGGGGTGGGGGTGGATTGATAATAAACCGATAAGTAAAACAGTAGATCAAGTGGTGATTAGTGTTATGGAGGGATGTAAAAGCAAAGAAGGGGTTTGGATAGTGTCAGAGAAGGTGGGGTAGGTATTTTAAATAGAGTAGTCAGGGAAGGTCTTAATAAGAAGGTAGAAATTCCACATTCAGGCAAAGCTGAGAAGGAGGTAAGGGAATAAGCCATGTGAATAGCTGGGAGAAGAGATTTCCAGGCAGAGGAAACTGCAAATGTAAAAGCTCTGAGATTGGAAGACGTTGACCAGTTGAGGGTATTTGGGAGCCTCTATTCCCGCTCTTAATTACAAATGGAGAAACAGGTTCAACCAGAGAGGGAGGGCTGCTTCCAGCTGTGTGACTTGGCACTCTGTGGCCCAGGCCCTGGACTCCCCAGCGAGTGCTCTGTGTCTGCATTAACCACTGATGACTCCTGCAGTGCTGGCTGCAAGGTAGTTGTTCAAGAAAGACCTGTGGATTGAAATACTATGGCAACCCTTAGCATTTTGTGCTGCAAACGTAGCTCGGAAGAATTGCCTTAAAGGGAGAAGACTTGGTAGTGCCACTCTGCTCTCGCCGCTCTACTGCACTATTCTCAAAGATCACAGGCGGGATTTTCCACTTGGGAAAATGTTCTCATTTTCCATTATTTCTGTCACATTGGACAGTGGACCATTTCCCTTCTCAACCCTTCTCTTCTCTCATGATGCCGCATCCCTGCTTTCCCCTGTACTTTGGACATTCCTTGCGTGGAATCTCTGCCTCCTCCCTCTTAAATGTATTTGTTTACAGAGGTTCAGTTTTCAGACATCTCCATATTGAATGCTTTGGCACCTTAACTACTTCCATGTGGGACTGACTCCCGTACATGGAGTTCACATTTCTGTGAGCAAGAGTAAGGTGTTTTAAGAATTTCAAGACTAAAGTTAGCAATGACTCAAACTATAAAGCTACAGCACTTTGAACAGGCTTCTAAGCAAGTGCTCTACCCGATTAGATTGCCCATAGATGTATGTCCAACTGCCTTGGGGATCTGTGTTCCCCAGGCCGTCTGATTGGTCATTTGGTCCCTTGAATGACTTTCCCTATGGGATGGTTATGCTGATGTCAGGTTCATTTCCCATTGTGAAGGGGAGAAAGTGGCATTTGGTTTATCACTGTCTTGTGAGTTTGGTGTTAGGCAATCTCACAGATTCCATCCAGTTATGGGGAAAGATAACCTGAGTTTCTGAACCAGGAAAGACTGACTGAGGAGGAGGCACCAGACAGATAACCCAGCTGAGGTACCACTTGCTCTGATGGCCAAGGCCTGGAAGCCTTCAGTTTCACACTCCGCTCCATCCAGTCTCACTATGCAGCCTGAAGGGGGTGAGTGTCCTACCCCCCAGCTCTGGCATATGGCATGTGGTTAATCTGTTAAATGATAATTCTCCGCAGATGCTTGCAAATTTTCCATCCTGTATTGAGCCGTGTTAGGTGACTGGAGGTAGCATGGGTAACAGGTATGGGAAGGGTCCTGCTCAAAGGCCCGGGGAGGAGAACAGTCAAACCCCCAGCCCAAGAACATGTACATTGAGTTTCACAACCATGATAGACGGGGAAGGTACAGTTCGTTTGTGAGGGCACTTCTACTTCATATTTCAAGCATATTAAATATAGCCACATTTAGCCAATAGAGCTGTGAACACAGGTATGGAGTGTACATCTGTCATGACATGAACATGGAATAAATATGAAGGGCAATTGACTTTGCTAGTGGAGAGTGTTAATGTGTTCGGTAAGACTCATTGTAACGTTAGTATGTGTTCTTTGTACATCTGGCATCTCAGTTGTAGCACACTGCAGGGGATGATTCCTCTTTAAATTTAAGACAGTGTGTTTAAGACACTTGGCTTTATTCTTATGTTTAAAATGTTTGCCCATGTCTCTGTATAGGAGATTGGAAGTGTTTTCAGCTGTGAGGAGAAGGGCCGGTGCTGGCTGTGTGTGTTTGCTCAGGATTGAGGAAGCCCTTTAGTGCCGGCACCTCTAATGCCTCAGTGTCCTTGTCTGTTAAATGGGGGTAATAAAAGCAGCTACTTTGTACGGTTTTTGTGAGGGTTAGTGAGTTAGTAATTGTGAAGTGCTTTTATCTATTTTTTGTTAATCCTCACACAAGGATATTTTTTCCATTGACTTTTTAGAGAGTGGAAGGGATGCAGGGAGAGAGATCGATGTGAAAAAGACACATTGATTGGTTGCCTCCTGCATGTGCCCGACCAGGGCCGGGGATTGAATCTGCAACCCAGGTATCTGCCCTTGAGTAGGAATTGAACCTGTGACCTTTCAGTGCACGGGCCGATGTTCTAACCACTTATCCACACGGGCCAGGACGTGAAGTGCTTTTAGATAGATGTATTTTCTCATATTACAACAATTTTAAGGTGTCTCTGTTTCTGCTTTAAACCCTTTCTGGGGAAAAGCTATAAATAAAATCCCCATTTTAAAGATGAAGAAACAGCCTCAGAGAGGTTAGGTAACTTGTGCAAAGTGGTGTAACTGAAGATAGAAATGGGCTGATGGTGCTGAGAGGACTACACTGCTAATGTGCGCTGGAGTAGAAACAGGAGCGTTTCCAAATTGTCTGCTGACCACAGGGCTGTGGAGTTCAGTTTGAGGTACGCCAAAGGGATGAGCAGCCAAGGCAGGGTTGCATATGGGTACCGTTGGGCCCTCCAGCTAGTGAAGCCCTATGCTGGTCCAGTGTTCCCTTCCCACAAGCCTGCCTGCCTTTCTGGGCCTGTGCTGTGACCCTCAGTGTAGCCAAGTGGTTAGAAGCTCAGGCTCCAGTGCAGTGATCTCCAAACCTATATTTGAACATGTATCCCAAGATATGTGTATTTGTAAAGTGTAACAATACCTTCTTGACTACCATACTTTAAAACAGTGACAGAAATTTAACTTGTGAGATAAAAAGAAAATAATTTATTTCAGAAACATTGGGTTACATCTTGCACCCACTTTGCTTGTTTCTGCTTCCAAGGGTCGGTCACGTTCCGGCGGTGTGAAGTTGGGCAAATTCCTTTAACCTCTCCAAGCTTCAGTTTTCTCATCTGTAACAGAAGACTAATAAAACTATCTGAGGATTGCGAGGGTTAAATGAGATAATTCAAGTAAAGCTTTTAATGCCACAAGAAGAAAACTTTCCCCCCAGAACCTGAATATTGGAATTGAGTCTCTCTCACTCCCCCTCTTGCTGTGCTGGGAGTATCCAGGGCCCTTCCATTGGCCAGGTTCTGTATAAGAGACAGCCAGGCGCTACCACTGTCAAACATTGCAAGTTACACAGCTTAGAAGCCTCTACATTCTTCATAGTATTACATTTGGTTTGGAATTCCTGATTTCTTAAAATTTTTTTTAAAATTTATTTCAGAGAGGAAGGGCATGGGCAAGAGAGAAACATCAATGATGACATAGAGCCCTGACCGGGAATCCGGCATGACCTGGTTCCTAGGTGGATGCTCACCCACTGAGCCACGCCGGCCTGCCAGATTTCCTCTCGAATGGCAGTCGGAAGCCTGAGAGCAGATTCCTTCTCCCTAAACACACTTATACTAATAAAACCAACAATACTAAGCCAGACATTGTTCTAAGCATTTACAGTCCTCAGTTTGTTACATGACCTGCCCAAGGCCATAGAGCTCGAAGTTAGGGAACCCAGGTCAGCTGCACCAACGCCAGCGCCTGTCTGTAACCACTGCATTATGTTCTGAAGCTGCCGGGGCGGGGACCGCGTGGCCACGGCCTCACGGCCACAGAGCGCCCGCTGTGCGGCTGCTGAGCGGGCAGACGGTGGACAGCGGAGAGATGCGGACGGACGGCGAGCCCACGCCATCCCTGGAAGCTCGCGAGAGCTCGTCCCGGAGGCTCCCGCAGTCCCCGGCGGTCCCGCCACTTCCGGTTCCGGCGCGTCCGTTTTGCGTCGCGGAGTTTGACCCCCGCGACGAGCCGTCGCCCCGCCCCGCGCTGCCATGGCGGCAGCCCCGCCGATCTCCAAGGCCGAGTACCTGAAGCGCTACTTGTCCCGGGCCGATGCCGACGGCCACGCGGGTTCCGAGTCCATTCTCAAGCGTCGCAAAAAGCGGCCCAAGCCTGGCGGTGTCGGCGGCAAGGGGTGAGTGGGTCATGGCGGGGCTGCCGCCCCCATTCCTCCCGTCTCCGCGGCCCGCCCTTCCCGGATCCCCGCCGGGCTGAGGGACCCCTCGGGCTGAGGGCCCCGTGAGAGAGAATCACTGATCGCGCCCCGGGCCCTGTGTGCTAGCCAGACTGTGGCCTGCATCCCTTTGCCCGCCTCTGTAGCCTCCAGTCGTCTCCGGTAGAGAATGCGTCCGTGCCCCTTGAGACGGGCGAGCTGGGCCAGAGCCTGTGCTTGGTGCTCGGACCCTGCCTGCGGGGCCGCCCTGTCCCCACTTCCCGCTCTTGCCACCTGCCGGGCGCTGTGGGGCGTTTTAGACGCGTATGAATTCGTGAGCTTTACGTTGCTTCCGTGAAGTAAGTAATGAAGCCTTCGTGGGTCAGGGTGGGCGCCAGAGCCAATATAACTGGTGTCCCTCTGGGAAGAGAGGCTTGGCGGCCGTGGCTCCGTGGTGGAGCGTGACCTGTGAGCCAGGAGGTCACGGTGCGATTCCCGGTCAGGGCACAGGCCGGGTTGCGCTCACTCCATCCCCGGTGCAGCCGATCAGTGGTTCTCTCTCATCATTGGTGTTTCTTTCTCTCTCCCTCTTCCTCTCTGAAATCAATAAAAATATTTATAAAAAAAAGAGAGAAGGTTGGACACAGAGACAGGCCTAGAGGGAAAAGGACCACGTGAAGGTGGAGGCTGAGCTTAGACTGTGCCTGAGCCAAAGGGTCCCCCCTGGAGCGCAGCGGGCTTTGCCTTGCAGGTGCCTTGCGATTTCAGACTCTGCCTCCAGAACTGAGGGGATACATTCCTGTTGTCTTAGGCCACCCGGTCTGCCCTAGGAAACGAATATATCTGTACAGTCTACTAAGTCCATAGCCCGGATCCATTGTCTTGCCTGGCTTGGCTTTCCCCTTACTCTTGCCTCTTCCTTCCTGCGCTCTGGCTTGTGTGGATTCTTGGGAAACAGTACCGTGTAGTGAAAACAGCGTGAGCTCTGCAGCGACACTGATCAGAGAGCGAGTCCTCGCTGTGCCACTTCTCAGGCTGTGTGGCTTCGGGCCTCTCAGCCTTCGTTTGCTTATCTTTGAAATGAGAGTAATACCGAATGATATCACTTGTATTTAGTGGTGGTGGTTGTGGTTAGAGATGTACAAAGTGATCTTGGCTGTTCAGGGAATAACCTCACCCATGGCAGTCGTCGTTATTTGCAGTCAGACCTAGTGTATCTGTGTGACGGGTATTTACTGAATACCTCTTATGCCAGTTGCTGCAGGGTGACGAGGATGCCAGTCTGAATGAGAAAGCCTTAGTCCCTATTCTGATGGAGCTTGTAGTCTAATGGGATACAGGCTTTAGACAACTAATTTTGCAACTAATTGATGTATTTCCTTTGTGATAAGTGCAATGAAAGTACTTCAAGAACGTGTAACGGGTTCTTAGATGGGAGAGTAGTTAGGAAGGTATTCTCAAGGAAGTTATCTATTAGGTTCTTAAGAATGAGTAAGAGTTTCCCAGTAAAGAATGAGAACAGTAGGCAGGGAGAAGGGACTGAGTGTGTGAAAACTGATGTGGTAGACCTTGCAGGATCTTGTAGGATTTTGAGCTTTATCCCGAAACCAATAGATAAGTGTGCATAGGCTGTTACCCAAGAACGTTTCTCCTTTTTTATCCCCCCCCTCCCCCCTTTAGAATGCGGATTGTGGACGATGATGTGAGCTGGACATCTATCTCCACCACTAAACCCGAAAAGGAGGAAGAGGAAGATGATGGAGATTTGCCTGTGGTATGTATCTTTTGAGGCTGTAAGGACTTTGAAATTCAAGCCTTTCAACCTCAACTCCCAGTGCAGGGCAGGGTTGTAAGAGGGAAAGTTGGGCAGAGACAACTTCCAAAGAAGTACTATCTTCTTTTTTATGGAAGGGCCCATCAAACTAAAAATGGGAACTAATCCCAGAGAGAGGCAGGACTCCTCAGCATCAGTGACAGAGCTATGATAGAACTAGCCAGGTTCGATGTGCTGGGATGGGCCTTAAAAACAATGCTCAGGTTCAATAGTAGGGAACTTTCTCTTTGTTTCTTTCATTCATGATTCAACTACACTTGAAAATTTGTATGCTCTTGTGTAAGTACTGGAGATATGTGGATTAATAGAACATAGTGTCTGTACTCTAGAGGTCATACTCTAAAATGGGACTTTCAAATAATTTCAGTAATATGATAAATGTTGGAGCTATGTTTCACATATGTACCAAGTGCTATTAGAGCACAGGGGAAGCAGGCCACTTTTTATTCCATTGGGAAATTCTATGAAGCATGTAAATATCTGATATAAATTTTGAAGATAAGAACCAGGTGGACAAAAGCATAGGCAAATAACCTAGCATTGGTATAGCCATGGAATCTATGCCGAGAATAACTGAGAAACAGGTGAAAAGGAGAGTTGTTGATAGGCTGAATTGTAAAGTTTTAAAGATGAATTCCAGATGAGTATATTTAATGTTAATCCCCAGCATATTCTACAATAGATTACTTAAAAGATGATTTGTTAGTAATTAAAAGGGAAACAGTGATCAAAAGGAACCAGAATGTTAGAATCAACCACTTAAATCTAATTAATGTTCACAACATATGTTTTTATTTTTTTATGTTATAAAAGCCAAATATACTTATTATAGAATATTTGGAAAGCAATACGGGACTATAGAATATTTGGGAATTTTAAGAAACGTGAAAGTTTTAAAAAGAGTATAAAAATCACTTATACTGTGACTATCCACAGGTAACAACTTCTAACATTTGGATGGATATCTCTTTAATTCATAGATTATACATACTTTTATTTATTTTTTTCAAATATAATTGGGATCATACTGCACACATGGTTTTGAGCCTACTCTTTCACTTAATAATATATTGTGAATACTTTAGTAAGACTTTCAAATATTCTTTGAGAATGTGATTTTTAATGGTTGCATAGTAGTTCAGTATATATATTGTTTTTAAATGTTCTATTACTGGACATATGGGTTGTTTCCTTTCTTAAAATATCATAATGCTTTGATAAACATCTTGTTCACAAATAATCCCTTATTTCTTTATTCCCATGAAGTGAAATTACAGCCCTTTTGAACTATAGTCTCATATTGCTTTCCAAAAGGTGGTACCAATTCACACTCCCACTGGCAGTGTATGAGAATGCCAGTGTTTGCATTTCTTCATCAGTACTTAAACATTACAACAGCAACAAATTGGCAAACCTATTCCAGTTTGGCAGGTAAACAGTGGTATCTAGTTTCTTTGAAAAATAGTGAAATGAATAGTTTTTCTTATGTTTGTTGGGAATTTCTGTTTTATGAAATTCTTGGTATTTTGTCCATTTCTTAGAAAATTGGGATTTTAATTTTTTTTTTACTTATTTGATATTTATATCAAATAAGGTGAAAAGGAGAGTTGTTGAAGAATATAAGTTGTTGAATAATAAGAATATATTACCTGTTTTACATGTCATAGGTATGTTTTATCTTTTTCCTTTTCATTTATAATAGTTTTGACATGTAAAAATTGTAAATTTTATGTGATCCTCTGTTAATTTTCCTTTATAATATTGTCTTTTGTCCTGTGATGGCCCCAAAACGAAAACAAAGAAGGCTTTAGCCCCACTGCTCTCTATTCTGGTTAAACCAGATCTTGGTTATTGAATTCATTTTTATTACTGCAAGACCATCACCACCATCAGAAATAATGGCAAAATAACTAGGACAACCACAATAGCAGTGGCAGCACAAAAATAATAGGTATAATTTACTGAGCATTTACCATGTACAAGCACTGCTATGCTTACATGACCCATCTCATTGAGTCCTCAGAGCAATCCTTTGAAACCTGCTTTTACAAATGAGGAAATTGAGGCTTAGAGAAAATAACTTGCCACAGGTTACACAAATACCAGCTGGCAGACCTGGGGGTTTAGATCTCTGTTCATCTTGCTTGAAAGCCTGTGCTTTTAATGCCCAGTGAGAGGTCTCAAAACTAGGTTATATGAGGAATGTTGGTAGGGTCTTGGGAGAAGAGAAGTAGAGAGGAATTACGACCTGGGTTTGAATTCCAGTTCTGCCTCTTGCTAGCCTGTGATATTGAGAAAGTTATTTGACTTTGCTAAGTAATAGTTTGCTCTTTAGTATTGTGGACCCTTTCTTTGCAGGGCTATTGTGAGGATTGATTGAGATAGTAAAATGCAAAACAGTGCTTTACACATAGTTGCTATTCTGTAACGAGAATTTATGATGCCAGACATCTTTGAAAGTCTGTCATGTAGCAAGAGAGAGGATCAGTTGTCAGAGGTCAGAACTAGGGCCAATGGGAAGAAGTTAGAGGAAGGTCGATACCAGTCTGATAAAACTAAGAACTTTCTAGCACAACCTCAAAATACAGTAGACTACTAAATAACATAGTGAGTTTCATGTTAGTGAATTGATTCTCTGACAGGGAGTAATGGGTGAATAATCATTTATCAAGGATACTCTAGAGAATATTCCACATTTGTTTGCAGTTTGGATAAGTGAAATGTGGTTCTCTCTCTCAAAGATTCTGTGATTCTGTGTGCATCTTAATGACTTCTTTTTGTTGGCTTCAAGAGTGCCTGCCTTTGTAACTACCTAATTCAAGGAAGGTTTCAGAGGCACCCGGAGCCCTTATGAGTGAGTGATAGGCATGACGAGGAGCCTGCCTGTTTTCACTCTGCGTGCAATATAATAAGAATAAAGCGGGCAAAGGAATTTAGCTTTTATCTTACAGGTGGCAGTCGTGTCTGTGGCAAGTTGGTAAAAAAGTTTGTAATGAATGAAATTAACTTTTGGAGGGAAATTGATTAGTTGGAGAATGATCTAGAATTAAACCATCCAGTGGCAATCAGGGATTTATGGAGCACACATAACTGAGGACCACTGCATGGATCTTCGTGGCTGTTTTGGGTCTGTGTGTGCGATGTGTGTTAGGAATGGGAATGGTTATAACTTCAGGTTCTTACACACAGTGCTCCTTGGCTGGATCCTGTGGATGTCCTCAATGTAGTGTCCTCATTGCCACAGGTGGCTGAGTTTGTGGATGAGCGGCCAGAAGAGGTAAAGCAGATGGAAACCTTTCGTTCCAGTGCCAAATGGAAGCTTCTGGGAGGTGAGTTCCAACAATAGATAAATCTAAAGGGGAAACCTTTTTCTTTTCTTTTTTTTTTTTTTTAGAGGAGCGCATTGTTTTAATTTGTCACTGATCCTGAAAAATATGACCCATGCCCTCATTTCCTGCTTCTGCTACCTTAGCCTCTGTTCTTAGAATGTTCATCTGCATATTTTAAAGATTGCACGTGGACTCTGGAGTCAGACAGAGCTGGATTTGGATATTCACTCCACCACTTACTTAGCAGTATGACTTTGGCAAATTATTTAATCTTTTCGAGTATCAACTTTCTTATCTATAAAATGGAGGTAATCTGTATCTCCTAGGGTTTGAGAATTAAATGAGGTAATCTACCTTGGCATGTAGTAAGTGATCAGTAATGCTGATTATTTTTTGCTGGTGATCTCTTCCCCCCCAATAAGGAGCACAGTAGCATGAACTAGTTGACAGCACTCATTTTTATGTGGCACAGGTTTAGTGAACATGCCTTTTGAAAGAAGAGTAAGTAAAAACTCACTTTTCTAGGCTAAATTTCAGTAGGAGCCTCTGTCTGGGAACTCTACACAAATAAGGTTTTGGGAAGAGCATTGGGTTGGGAGATAGAAGACTGGGGTTCTAGTCTGTCTCTTCATCTTGGAGTTGTAATCTGAGGTAAGAAGCCATTCAGCACCTTGGAGCTTCTATTTTCATGACTGTAAACAAGATGCCTGCCCCACTTGCCTTACAAGGTATAAGATGAAAAATGTATTTAAAATGCTTTGCAAATTGTGTCTTGTTAGGCAAATAAAAGAGATTATTTTTAAAATGTTCATGGGTGCTGGGCCCCTAAGCAAAGGAGCTGTACAGAGTAGTTTTGGGCTTTCTGAGTAGTTTTGAGATGTGTGCTGCTGGGGCATCTTTTGAAACTCTGGGTACTGGTGGTGAACGCAGCATTTGTGGGAATCTGACTCTTTGCTCTTTGTGTTTAGGCCACAGTGAGGATCTACCTTCACACAGGCATTCCCGCCATGACTCCCCGGACCCTTCTCCACCTAGGAGAGTCCGCCATGACTCCCCGGACCCTTCTCCACCTAGGAGAGTCCGCCATGACTCCCCGGACCCTTCTCCACCTAGGAGAGTCCGCCATGACTCCCCGGATCCTTCTTCACCTAGGAGGATCCGCCATGACTCCCCGGACCCTTCTCCACCTAGGAGGGTCCGCCATGACTCCCCAGACCCTTCTCTACCTAGGAGGGTCCGCCATGACTCCCCGGACCCTTCTCCATCTAGGAGGGTCCGCCATGAGTCCCCGGATCCTTCTCTGCCTAGGAGAGCCCATCATGATTCACCGGATCCCTCTCTGCTCAGGAAGCATTATCGTCCTTCAGGTGTGTCTCCTAGAAGGGCCCGTCATGACACACCAGATCCATCTCCTCCTCGGAGGGCCCATCACAGTTCCGCAGCTATTCCTCCTCAGAGAAAGGCCCGTAGCAGCTCCCCTGACACCTCTCAACCTAGAAGGACTCTGGAATCCTTGGACACATCAAAGCTCAGGAGGGCCCGTCATGACTCCCCTGATTCGCCTCCTAATGTTCCTCATTCACTGCACAGAACCAAAAGCAGTAAAGCCCCAGAAAGAGCCTCTAGCAAAACTTCTCCACATCGGAAGGGGCCAGGACCCTCTCAGCCCTCAGTCCCGAAGAGCAGCAAGTATGAATGTGACTCGGACCTCTCTCCGCCACGAAAAAGGCAAGCCAAATTTCATTATGGAAATAAACAGCATGACTCTAAAGGTGAGCATTGATTGTCCATGAGAGGGACTTGTTCCCTAGGCACTTCATTTTGAATCTTTTACTTGTTAGGTATTTATGTCTTTAGAAATGAGAATTAAGTTTCTTAGGAGAAGTTTTAAAAACTATAGGGAAATAGCGAGAGGTTGGGCTAAAGAGTTAAATATTTACAGTAGAAGGGAAGAAGTTTTTATATATCCTTTTGTTGTCCTCACCGGACATAAAAGTGCTATCTGTTTGTTGTAGAAACATCAGAATGTCTAGAAATACATAAAGAAGCAGAAAAAAATCATGCGGACTTCTGTTATTCAGAGGCAATCACTAGTGTTGTAGCCAATGTTCTTTTTAGTCTTTTCTCTATTCATTTTTTTAAAAGATTTTTTTATTGATTTTGAGAGAGAGAGAGAGAGAGAGAGAGAGAGAGAAACATTGGGCAACCTTTTGGTGCATTGCACAATGCTCAATCAACTGAGCTACCTGGCCAGGACTCTCTATGCACTATCTATGTGTTGCATGCATTATCTTGCCTGGTTTTTTCACTTATCATTAACTTCCCCATGTCATAAGAACATTTCTTTGTTAATGTAATTTTTATTGTATTACATAAATTTAGTTAACCATTTCCCTAATACTGCATATTTTAGGTTAGTTCTAAATTTTGCTTTCATAATCCCATATGATAAAAGCCTAATATGCTAAGTGTCTGTCTGGCTGTTCAACCAATCAAAGTGTAATATGCTAATGATATGCTAAGGCTGCTCAACTGCTTGCTATGACGTGCACTGACCACCAGGGGGCAGTTGGTTCAACCAGTAGGTTAGCTTGCTGCTGGGGTCCGATCGGGACTGAGTGAGATGGGCTGGACACGCCTTGGAGCCTTCCTGCGGTCCCTCCCTGGCTGGCCAACCCTCCGCATCCCTCCCCAGCCCCGATCGTGCACCGGTGGGGTCCCTCGGCCTGGCGTGTTCCCTCTTGCAATCCAGGACCCCTCAGGGGATGTCGGAGAGCTGGTTTTGGCCTGATCCCACAGGCCAGGCCAAGGGACCCCACTGGTGCACAAATTTGTGCACTGGGCCTCTAGTTCTGAACATCTAGGCCTCTAGTAATGAACATTTATGTACATAAACTATTCCCATTCTGGATGATTTCCTTCTCTGCTTCTAGATAGATTTCCTGGAAAATAAGTACTTCTAGATTTGTTTCCTAGGAGCTAAGTAGAAATTGATTTTCCAGGTTGTGTGTTTTAAAGATCATTGATACATATTGCCGATTGCTTTTTTGGGGAAGTAATTTGTGATGCTTACGTTTATAATTCAGGCCTGTGTGGTAAAAATTTTTACCCAAAATGGTCCCTAGCTACTGTTTTAATTTTTAAAATACATTTTTATTCTTTAGTCTGAGGACTTCAGAATATATCCTAATTAGTTTTAACTTAACACATCACTGAGATCTGTGTGCATGTTATTGCCCATTCTGAGTGTGGTTTAAATATGACGTAGAGGAATATGTTGAGATCTCACACACAATCACAGTCGCTGGTAACGGGGGAACAGAACTCCACATCCTGCCTCTTGGTTTTGAAAACTGTCCCTGACTTTGCTCTTCTCCTGTGTCATCTGATCTTGTGTTTAGGTTAGTGATGCATGAGGACTAAATGAATGTTGAACAGTAACTGGGTAAGTTCTTTTTAAGATTCTGACACTGGATTAAAGACTTTATTCTTCAATTTCTAGGCTCTTCACCCAGCCGTAGAAAATTTCATACGAGTTTGTCACCTCGAAGACATCAGAGTCACACCTTGGGCTCTTCCTCCTACCCAGGTGACAGTCAGAAAGCCTCTGATTCAGACCTTTCTCCTCCACGGAAGAAACCAAGTTCAAGGCCCCAGGGTTCTGATTCAGATCTGTCACCTCCACGAAATAGACCTGGGCGCCACAGCTCTGATTCTGACCTCTCTCCACCAAGGAGGAAACAGAGGGCCAAATCCTCTGATTCTGACCTGTCTCCACCTCGAAGGACTCAGCCTCTGGGAAAGAAGGTAGGAATTTTCAGGAGCCATATCTTCTCTTAGAGCAGCGGTTGCCAACTGATGGTCCGTGGACCACTGGTGGTCCGTGAGGTCCGAAAGGTTGGCGACCGCTGTCTTAGAGTGATTCCTGTCTTCTAGCTCTATCCAAGGCCCAGAGACCCGAGCCAGTGGAGGGGGAGGCAGGTCTTGGTTGTGCAGTAAATCTAGTTCAGAGGACTGCTCCACCTCTTTCCTTCTCTCTGAAGGCAGGACAGCCTATAATACAGCCCAGGTGAACTTGCAGATTCCAGAGGTCCTAAGTAGCGTCTGCCTTTATGTCATCTGAATTCCATAAATCTCATTTCAATAGGTTTAGAAAGACTTCCTCTTTTCTTAGTAATAAACAGAAGTGTAGTTTACAGAGTGGAGTTAGCACAAACTTTGTGTCAGATGTCACGTATTCAAATCCTATCTTTTCCACTTTGTATCTGTGAAATTTGAGCAAGGTACATAATTACCTCAGCTTCTTCATTGGTAAAATGTGGATAATAGTATATACTTCATAAGATTATTGTGAAAATTAAATGAGTTAGTGTAAGTAAAACTTTTAGCACAGTACCTGGGACAAAGTAAACAACTTATTACAATAAATTGGAGTGCAGGTCTCTGTATTCAGAGCTTAAAGAGAGGCACTTAAAATATAAAACTACTTCATATCACCTGGAAAGTCAGTGTTTTGTTTTATTTGAAATCTATGATGAGGCCCGAGTGAGGGGGGGAAAAAAAATCCATGAGCCCTGAGTAACTGTTGTAAAGAACACAAGTATGAGTAAAGGAATCTTATTCCAGTGAGCTGGTTAAGAGACAGAATGCTAGAGCAGTGGTGTGCACATCTTCCTCCAGCACAGACTTTTTAGGTAGGTCTCCTCGGTAGCCCACGTGGTCCTGGCAGGAAGGACTGGCCTGTCCCTCACCCGGGAAGTGAGGTTCTTCTGTTTTGGGTCACAAAGTGAGGGCTAATGTTTCAGCTGGACTCCTTGATATTTTATGTATCTGTTTAATCCATATGTAATTTAATATTGATCAGATTTAGCACATGGCTTAAGGATATCAGGATATACTGCATGTTCCATTTGTGGGTTGATTTGTTATCTTGATACAAGGTGGAGTTTAGTAAAAGGTTTTGATTTGGTCAGATTTTTTCATTATCCTGAAATATATCCACAATTTAAGGATCTTAGGTTTGAATTTGCATTTTAAATGGGATTCTTTGTTAGTGTGAGTCTGTATTGGAGGCCTTAGAGCTTGATACAGGTTTCTGGTCAGGTGGCCCGAGAGTGAGTCCTCATGTGTAAAGTTTATATATGCTGAAAAATCAGAAATACAGATGCTTTGCCTTCCCTTTAATATCTTCTTGGTTTGTATTTTTGTTTACTCTTAAATTTGATAGTACTATTGGTTTTCCATGAAACTCAATTTTATTTTTTTTCTATTTTGTGAATTCTGTGGCTGAGAATAAGATATAAAATTAGCGTTTTTGATTTGGTTATTGCTGATCTTCAGACAAAATGCACATAACTGTGTGTACTCATAGAGCCTGCAGCTGCATCATCTCATTAATGTTGGACACTCCCTTTCCATTGCATAGGCTGCACACATGTATTCTGGGGCTAAAACTGGGTTGGTGTTAACTGACATACAGCGAGAGCAGCAGGAACTCCAGGAACGGGACCAAGAAGCCATGGCATTTGAAGGTAAAATTACAAAAGTGCAAAGACCAATTGAGGCTCATGTAGCTTTTCTTTTTTAAATGTAGCTTATTGTACCTGATGTTTTAAACTTTTAAGTGCAATCAAGTTTCATTTCTGCTTTTACGCATTATTTTAACTTCTCAGTGGGTCCAAATGGTACTTTTCCTTCTTGAAAAAATAATAGTTTTCAGGATCATCAGCAGTAGGTACTTGTAGTCTGACTGCAGAAGTTCTTATTTAGCATTAGAATCCCAAGTGTTTGATGTCAGCTATTAAAATATTATTTCTGATTTTAATACCTGGTGTTTATCTTTAAAAGCATAATTTTCCTTTGCAGCTGAATTCCAATATGCTGAAACCGTATTTCGAGATAAGTCTGGTCGTAAGAGGAATTTGAAACTGGAACGTTTAGAGCAAAGGCGAAGAGCAGAGAAGGACTCAAAGAGAGATGAGCTGTATGCCCAGTGGGGAAAAGGGTAAGGGAACCACTGACAGGTAAAACAAGACTGCAGTGACGGGAGGGAGTTATTTCTCCGAGTCCTCTTCTGACTAGCTAGCTTATGTTTGCCTTCAAGCCGTTTTCAGGCCCTGACTGGGGTGGCTCGGTTGGTTGGGTATCATCTCGTGCACCGAAAGGTGTGATTCCCAGTCAGGATGCATGCCTGGGCTGCAGGCTTGATCCCCAATTGGGGGTGTGCAGGAGGCCGCCGATCGATGGATCGATGTTTCACTTTCATGTTGATGTTTCTCTCTCAAAATCTATTTTAAACCTTTTTTTTAATAAAAGCTGTTTTCAAGAATGGGAAATTCACTGTGTTCAGAATATATATATATCCTTTCAGTGATATATTCTGCACTTCCACTTGGTATTCTAGGAATTTTACCCTTTTCAATATTTGGCCTAGGCTTCTAGAAAGAGGAGGTTCTCCAAATGCAGCAGTGTGTCCATGTCAGTGTAAGAGTAGAAGTGTTAAACAGTATTACAAACAATCTTGGTTCTTTTTGCCCAGCCTTGTCCAGAGCCGGCAGCAGCAACAAAATGTGGAGGATGCAATAAAGGAAATGCAGAAGCCTCTGGCCCGCTATATTGATGATGAAGATCTGGATCGGATGCTGAGAGAACAAGAAAGGGAGGGGGACCCCATGGCCAACTTTATCAAGAAGAATAAGGCCAAGGAGAACAAGGATAAGAAAGGTGAGCCTTCTGGGAATCATCAGCGGTGCAGGTGACTTATGTGAGAGAGAGAGAGAGTGAGAGAGAGAGTCATACAAGCTAGATTCCTTGTGTTTGGGAGTTAGGTTCCACTTAATAGAGATTTCTGTATAAAATCCCCCCAGCCCCAGCCCCACCCCCAGCCCCACCGCCTTCTAGCTCTGGATTGAATAGTATAAGTAATTGACTTGTTTTTCTCCCTCTTTTCTCATTAGTGAGACCTCGCTACAGTGGCCCAGCACCTCCTCCCAACAGATTCAATATCTGGCCTGGGTATCGTTGGGATGGAGTGGACAGGTAAACCTGAATATTTCCTACATTCTTGTTTTTTCTTCCATCTGATCCTAACCTTCCCTAACTGTATGTCACTCTACACTCTGCCTCATTCTGTGCTTTAATCACTAGGTTAATAATTTGAAGTTTGCTTGCTTCTGTTTCCAAGGTCCTCAGATCCCGTTGCCATGCTTAGAACACTCTTCCTCCTTTTTTCCTTTTCCAAGCTTAAGAAGCTGTGGCCGAACAACTCAGATGGTCCTTTGTTTTTGACATTGTCACTTTTAATGATATTTTCTAAAGTTTAGGGGGTGAGTGAAGGGTGGTAGTCTGGAGCCTTCTGTATGTTGTATCTAAAATATAGCCCTTGAACTGTCTCTTCACTGTCTTAGGAGTGAGTTACTTGTAATACGTCACTGCCCCTACCACCGTATCTTTATTTTTTATGTTAATCCTCACCTGAGGATATTTTTTTCATCCAATTTTCTTTTTTTTAGAAAGAGTGGAAGGGAGAGTGGGAAGGAAGGATGGGGGTGGAGGGGGAGAGAGAGAGAGAGACAGACAGACAGACAGACATTGGTGTGAGGAGACACATCTGTTGGTTGGCTCCTACACACACTGGGGCTGAGGATCTAACCTGCAACCCAGGTACATGCCATTCACTAGGAATCGAACCGGAGACCTTTTGGTGCACGGGCCAACGCTCTAACCCAGCCATGGACAAACTACAGCCCGCGGGCCGAACCCGGCCCGTTTGAAATGAATAAAACTAAAAAAAAAAAAAAAAAAAGACCGTACTCTTTTATGTAATGACTAGAGGCCCGGTGCACAAAAATTTGTGCACTCGGGGGGGGGGGGGCCCTCAGCCCGGCCTGTGCCCTCTCGCAGTCTGGGACCCCTCGGGAGATAACGACCTGCTGGCTTAGGCCTGCTCCCGGGTGGCAGAGGGCAGGCCCAATCCCTAGGTGCAGCCCCTGGTTGGGCTCAGAGCAGGGCCGATTGGGGAGTTGGGGCGCCACCCCGTCATACACAGAGCAGGGCGATCGGAAAGTTGTGATTCCACCCTCAGTTACGCTCAGGGTAGGGCCGATTGGGGGGTTGGGGCACCATCCCCTGTCACACTCAAGGCAGGGTCGATGGGGAGGTTGCGGTGCCACCCCCTGTCATTCACAGAGCAGGAGCCAATCAGGGGGTTGGGGCATTTCCCCCTGTCACTCACAGAGCAGGGCCCATCAGGGGGGTTGGGGCTCTGTACCCTGTCACTCACAGAGCAGGGCCAATCAGGTGGTGGGGGCGCAGCCCCCTGTCACGCACAGAGCAGGGCCCATCAGGGGGTAGGGGTGCCACCACTCTCACACTCAGGGCAGGGCCGATGGGGAGGTTATGGCTCTACCCCGTCACACACAGAGCAGGGCCCATGGGGGGGGGGGGTGTGTTGGGGCGCCGCACCCTGTCACACACAGAGCCGCAGGGCGATCAGGGGGTTTGGGTGCTGCCCCCTGTCACGCTGATCCCAGTGCCGGGAGGCCTCGCGGCTCTGCTGATCCCAGTGCTGGGAGGCATATTACCCTTTTACTATATAGGGTAGAGGCCTGGTGCATGGGTGGTTGCCGGCTGGTTTGCCCTGAAGGGTGTCCTGGATCAGGGTGGGGGTCCCCACTGGGGTGCCTGGCCAGCCTAGGTGAGGGGATGATGGCTGTTTGCAGCTGGTCACACATCCTTCAGGGTGGGGGTCCCCACTGGGGTGCCTAGCCAGCCTGGGTGAGGGGATGATGGCTGTTTGCAGCTGGTCACACACCCTTCAGGGTGGGGGTCCCCACTGGGGTGCCTGGCCAGTCTGGGTGAGGAGCTGAGGGCTGTTTTCAGTCTGGGGGTGACTGAAGCTCCCAACTGCTCCTTTTTTTATTTTTTTTATTCTGGGCCAGCTTTAGCTTTGAGGCTTGGCTCCAACTCTTAGGCCTCCACTGCTGAAAGTAGGTTTCTGGCCTTTGCTTACAATGTTGCGATCTTGCTGGCTGAAGCCCTGCAGGTTTCTGGGGTTTTGTTTAGCTTCTATGTTTGTTACATAGTTGCTTGCAGCTCAGAGGCCTGCAGCGGCAGGCGGGGAACGTTGGAGTCCTCCGTCACTGAAGCAAGCAAGCCTCTTGTTAGTTTTAAGCTGCCTGGCTGCCGGCCGCCATCTTGGCTGACAGTTAATTTGCATATTGCCCTGATTAGCCAATGGGAAGGGTAGCGGTCGTACACCAATTACCATGTTTCTTTTTATTAGATAGGATGTTTACTTTGAATTTATATTAGTTCACACAAACACTCCATCCATGCTTTTGTTCCGGCCCTCCGGTCCAGTTTATGAACCCACTGTGGCCCTCGAGTCAAAAAGTTTGCCCACCCCTGCTCTAACCACATAGCCACACTGACCAGGGCCCTACCACCTTATCTATTCACCTGCCTGCATCTGTACCCCCAGGCTCTAACTTCCCGTCTGTTACCATGGATGAACTATTTGTGCTCCTATCCAGAGTTAGCCCCTCTACTTATATGCTGGATCCTGTCTCCTTTTGTCTACTAAAAGACATTTTTCTAGCATCTAATACAATGATTTTCAAACTTTTCGATCTTAGACCCCTCCACACTTAAAAATTATTGAGGACTCCCAAAAAACTTTTATTTGTGTTGGTTATACTTATTAATATTTCTAATATTTACAACATTAGAAATTAAACTGAGAAGTTTAAAAAGCAGTTTTTGGTTCATTAAAAATAATAAAGCCAGCCCTAGCTGGTTTGGCTCAGTGGATAAAGTGTTGGCCTGTGAACAGATTCCGGTCAAGGGCATGTACCTTGGTTTCGGGCACATCCCCAGTGGGAGGTGTGCGGGAGGCGGCTGATTAATGCTTCTCTCTCATCGATGTTTCTAACGCTTTATCTCCCTCCCTTTGTCTCTGTAAAAAAATCAATAAAATATATATTTTTTAAAAAGCTGCAAGTCCATTATATAATAAAGTAGGTTTTATAAATGTGTATATTTAAAAATTGACAAATTAGTTTACCTGTTTTTACTTATGGAGATACATTTGTGTAATTAAAATTATGTATGAAAAGTTTAATTTCCACAGAAAAGTTTATATATATATTACTGTAATTTTAAATTTATACTGAATAGGTCTAGTAAATCGGTCCAGCCACCTTGCGTAAACAAATGTACATGGCTGGGGCATGGCTGAGCGCATGTCACTGGTTAAAACTGCTGCAGAAAGTCACGTCACGTGACAACAGAACCAATAACCTTGCTTGGTGCGGTGTGATCACATGCAAATCCCTGAACATTGTTTAAGAGTGGTGACTCTTGGATTTAAATATGTAGACTGTAGTTGTAGATATGTAATATTTACTTATGTCAGCAAAATTACTACAGTGTTTTTTTCCAACCTGGCCTATTTGCTAAAATTTGTTTAAAATGACAGTGAGTTGCCCTAACCGGTTTGGCTCAGTGGATAGAGCGTCGACCTGTGAACTGAAAGGTCCCAGGTTCGATTCTGGTCAAGGGCATGTACCTTGATTGTGGGCACATCCCCAGTAGGTGGTGTGCAGGAGGCAGCTGATATGTTTCTCTCCTATCAATGTTTCTAACTCTCTATCCCTCTCCCTTCCTCTCTGTCAAAAAAATCAATAAAATTTATTAAAAAAAAAAAAAAAAATGACAGTGAGTTAATACCAAAAACATTAACCTATTAATTTAATTATAAGCAAGTCTTGGTTAAAAGCATTTTAAAATTAACAGGGTGTTAATTTTCACATATGACATATGGACTGGAAAGTTTTGTTCATTAAAGATGAAGTCCATTAAATTGAGCTCCCAAAAATCAAGGGTTTGCTGTATTACATATTTTGATACTGCACAAAAAATCTCCAGTTTATTAAAGGTTATTTATAATATGGAATCTAAAACTATATAAAAAAACTTTTTATACTGTTACATTAAAATCTATTGGTTTTTTTGTCCTACTTTGGGATGGATCTTTTACCCCTGCATGATTTTATACCATCGTGCATTAGACATGTGAAAATATTACTTTGCTGAGTTTTTCAGATCTTCCAAATATTGACATATTTCATTATATAATATCAAATAATCGTGTATTTTTAACATTATCTCTGATCTCATCACAAAGTCTTTAAATAACAGAAAGCAAAAGAGTTCATGGTGGCAGATACAAGTGTTTCAAAATTCCCTATTGCTCCACTTAGTTTTGCATTCATTGGCTGCTTCTTGGATGTGCCCTGACCGGGCATTGAACCCGGAACCTTGGCATATCAGGATGATGCTCTAACCAACTGACCTACCCGGCTAGGGTACATAATACCTTATTTTGTAGATTCCATCAGATTTTGTGCTTAGAGGATCATGTCCTGTGTGAATAGAGACAGTTTGACATCTTCCTTTCCAATCCAGATGCCTTTTGTTTCTCTTTCTTGCCTTATTGCACTAACTAGAACTTCCAGTGAAGAAATAGAATAAAAGTAGTAAGACTTTGTTCCTAATCTTAGAAGAAAAACATTGCATTGCTCCTAATCTTAGAAGGAAAACATTCAGTTTTTTACCATTAAATATGTCTTTTAATGTCTTTTTTTATAGATTCCCTTTATTAAGAAAGTTCCTTTCTATTCCTAGTTTGCTGAGGGTTTATTTTATTTTTTCTTTCAGGAATGTATGTTCAAAATGGGTTTTGTTCAAAATAATTTATAATTTCCCTTTTGGTTCATTCTTTGATTTGTGAGTTACTGAGGAGGACATTGTTTAATTTCAAATATTTAGACTTTTCTAGATGTCTCACTGTTACTGATTTCTGATTTAATTCCACTGAGGTCAGAGAATGTACTCTGTAAATTTTGGTCTTTTGAAATTTGTTAAGACATATTTTATGGCCCAGTATGTGGTTTACCTTGGTGAAAAGTCCATTTGTGCCTGAAGGTTATGTGTATTCTACAATTGTTTGTTGCAGTGTTTTGAAAATCTTTTGTATG